AGGCTGGGACTGACCAGCCTCCCGTGCCCACGCCCGCTCTCTTCCTGCAGGACCTGGTGGCCTGGGTGACGGTGGGCTTCCTCCACATCCCCCACGCCGAGGACGTCCCCAACACGGCCACGCCAGGCAACGTCGTGGGCTTCTTCCTGCGCCCCTTCAACTTCTTCGATGAGGACCCGTCGGTGGCGTCCCGGCGCACCGTCGTTGCGCGGCCGGTCAAGCCCGGGAGCCCGGAGGGGGCGCTCATCCAGCGCTGGACCGCCCCAAGCAGCCCCGGCCCCTGCGTCTCCGAGGAGCCCCTCCGCTACAACGGCACCTACCTGCCGGTGTAGCTCTGTCTGTCTCGGGGGGGGGGGGCTTGAGCCAGTGAGATTCCGGGGGGGGGGCGCTGCTCCCCCCACCCCCACCCCCCATCCAGGGGAGGCCCAGAGGCCGTCTGGACATCTGCAGCCTGAAGGCCTGCCCGGATCCGACAGGGGTGGGCCAGGATTCGGGGCTCTGCCGTGTCTTGGTGGAATTTCATCCACCAAGAGAACAGAAACCATTTCATGACCTCTTAACTTGCCTCCCCCCCCCAAAGCAAAACGAAATGAGCTGGCCGACTCCAGAGGGCAGCCACGTAGGACTGCGTCCAGAAGGTGGCAACCCGGGCACCTGCTGTGCCACATCGTGTGGAGGTGCCCACAAACAGAGCGCATTGCCAAGCTGCCTCACCCCTTTGGCCCCGAGGGGCACCCTGCCCGGACTGGTCCCTGCCCCAGGGGCGCACCCGTCCCTAGCGCGGGTGTTTCATGGGCTCTGTACAAAAGCGCGCTGCACACCTTTCAGGCATAAAGGTCTGCTCTTGATTCCACGCCCCCGTCCAGCTCGGTGTGTCGCCCGCGTCTTCCACCCTTGCTTCTCTGAGGGCTCCGGCTGCTGCTGCGTGACTGCCAGAGCCCACGGGGGGGGGGGGAAGAGACCCACTGCAATCCGCTCAGAGGCCACCCAGTGGATGGCACACTGGCCCGCGCCTTCTGACTGTGCAAAAGCTAAGGAATTTGTTGAGGGGGGGGGGATTCGTTTTGGGAGGGGGTGCAGTGAAAGGAGAAGCCAGAATCACTGCTATGGTAAGAGATGTGTGGTGGGAGTGGGAGCGAGAATGGGGAGGGGGCACGCAATGACATGTGGGAGGAACAGGCAGGGAGAGAAGCGGCCTCGGCCTCCAAAGCCCATCGGCCACACCACGCGGGCTGTTCCTTATGGTCTTTCCGAAGGCCATCCCTGCACCTCGTGGGGGCTGGATTCCGAAATGTTACTACCACCCCTTTGGGTTTGGGTATTTTGAGAAGAGCAGCAGAATGCCAAGAAAGGGAAACCTCCCTTCCCTCCCTGTGTGTTGTTCGTCGCTCATCTCTGCCGTGTCTCCCCAGCCCCTGCCCCCCCCCGTTTAAATCTGAACAGACCCAAACTGGGCCATCTTGCCTTGGTTTCTTCTCAGGATATCTGTGTTTAACTCACTTACAAGCTGCCAGGACCTCCACTTCACTGCTAACAATGCGCTCTGTCCCTGGCGGTGGCAGCTGCTCACAGCCCTCTCCCTGGTGTGGAGGAAGTGAGTAAGGGGAGCAGGTGGAGGGGTCCCCCCCTCCTCACTCTGCCAGGAGCTTCTCCGTGCAACTGGCGGGCGAGCCCAAGGGAGTGGCCTTCAGAAGGGAACCGGGCAATCCAGATCCTGTGGCTCTCCAGGGCTGCTGGCAGTCGCTGGGCCTGCAGGTGGGCAAGGTGCCTCTGAATGCCTTCTGCCAGGGCGCACCAGTGGGGGGGGGAGCGGTCCTGACATGGGCTCAGTCCGAGTGGGGCAGCCAGCTGGCTGCTCTGGGCACAGGAGGAAGGGACCAGGGAGGCCAGAGTCTGTGGGGGGGCCCTCTTCTTGGCGGGGGACCCTCTTCGAGGCACCCCTTGTGTCTGCCACCAAGGGGCCACGTGGCGACTCCTCTAGCGAGCATCCCTTGGCCTGCCCTCTGCCCCATCCTTGGGCTGTTGCAAGAGCCCAAGCGATCTGCAGGGTGCCAGGCTGGCACTGCCCAGAGTCATCGGGGGGGGGAGGCAAGCCTGGCTGCTTCATTGCCCTCCTCCACCTTCCTCACCGTCCTGGCCCAAATGCGTTGCTAAGAATCGAACCCCCACAAAGCCTGGGGTGCCCCCTCCCCTGCTCTCTGGTCCCCAGTGCTCCCGCAGATTGTGAACCTGCACAGCCATGGGGGGGCAGCAGGGGGAACTGCCCCATTTTGTGGATGCCACATCCTGCATGACCTCTGCAGGGCCCCCCCTCCAATAGTCACCAAGGCCATTGGATCAAAGATACCCACAGAGCCAAAGGGAGGCATATCCCAGTTGAAGTTTATTGGGCATCCGTTGCTAATGCTGAGTACAGCATGCGGGGGGAGGGGACATGGATATGGGGGGGATCTTCTCACGTGCAATTAGAAATGGGGGGGGAGTTGGAACATGGCTTGGGCCTGATACCCATTGGAGCACCCATGGTGTGGCAGCAAGTGGGGGTCGGAGGGCCCTCTGGGTGGGCAAAGGCCCCTTCCCCCTCCCATACCCAGCAAGCACAAAATGTCAGAGAACAGGACAGAAAATCCCCCCCCCGGTGTGGCTGATTGGGGGGGCTGATGATAAGAATTCACCCCACCCCACTCCACTTACAAGAAGATGATGGGAAGGAAACAAGGGCCAGAAGCTTTGTCTGCCCTCTCTCTGTGGGGGGGGGGTTAGGCAGAATTATCCACAGAGCATTGTGATGGGTGGGGGAGGACAAAGGATAAAGGTCAAGAGACCTGGACAGGTTAATCCTGCACAAACTTGTGCTGAGGTGTGGGGCTGCCCCACAGCCTTCTCTTCTGTAGCACGAACTGCACCCTCACTCTGAAATAGAGAGGATGGTTGACGGGTCAACAGGAAAGGTCCCAGTGGGGGGTACGTGGACTTGGAGGGGGGCCTGGGCACAGGGCTCGCTGGGGAGGGGTAGCTGACAATCCACATGCCGGTGCGGAAACCAAGGGGCACTGGCTACCCAGATGGAGGGTGTGACCCCAAACTCCTGGGCCTGCACCCTGGTTCTTATGCACAGACCCCCCCTCCGTCTCTCCCTAGGGGGGACGCCAGCCCTCAGAAGCCAGCATGGAGCCAGGAGGGTATGATAGGGGAGGAGGAAGTGGCACATCTCCCCCCCCCCAGGCTGCAGGGGCTCCAGTCTGAATGCCCCCTCCCCACGCTATCCCTCCCACCTCTCTATCTCTCCCCTCCGGCCTGGATGCCCGGGGGGGGGTGAGCTTTAACCTTCCCCTCCCCCACCCGCCTGCTGCCACACCGCTGGGGGACTGACCGCCTTGGGGGTCTTGGGGTGATATGCCTGGGGTCACACGGGAGATTCTAACCCTTATCAATATTACTAGTATTCATTATTATTCATTAGTACCACTATTCCTGTGAGCAGCCTGTCGGTCCATGAACAGTCCCCACCGACCCATCGGCCGATGGCCACCATGCCGACTGGCCCCCGCCCCGTTAGGCCAGCTAACGTCCGAGCGGATGTGGGCTGGCCCCTGCACTGGCCAAGCCCCAGTGCGGCCTTCGCCCTCCTCCTCCTCCTCTTCGAGCTGCCCCTGGGGCTCCGATGCCCCCCTGCCCATGACAGGAGGGCAGTTCCCAATGCCCAGAAAGGCCCACCGGCCGGGCCTCCGTCAACGGTCCATTAACTGCCTGGGTCCGAGCAGTGTCTGTGCAAGTCCGTGGTGGAGGCCGGGGGGGCCGGCGCCAGCTGCCCGGGGAGAGAAAGGCGCCTCGGGCCGGACAGGGGTGGCTCCACCAGCAGCACCACATCGTCGCTGGGATGGGCAGCATCCAGACCCGGCGCTGGGAAATCGGGAACCTACGTGGGAGGAAAAGGGCAGAGTCAGGGCCTGGACAGGCTGGCGGACAAAGGACTGCCCCCCTCCGGGTTTCCTACAAGAAGGCACCCAAGGGGGCACCCGGCTTACGGGAAGGGAGGATGCTGGCACACACAGCGCCCCCGGGGGAACGTGCCGTTTTCCTTCTGCTTCCAGCCGGAGGTGGAAAAGCCATGCCATGAGGGCGATGGGCTGGAAGCCCCCCTGGTGTAGGGGCCTGTGGGGAAGTCGGCCCGGCCGGGGGATGGAGGGGGTCCCGGGTGCCCCTCGGGCCC